TGTCAAGTTTAATTTCACCCTTAATGCTGGGGAAAGCTACATACATATTTTAAAAATCAGGTGTCTGGCATGCTTGAAGACAGCCTCTAAATAAAAGCAGGTTAGGATGACACCTTTGAGAACTCTCCTTATATCTAGTGCACACAATGTTTTTGCCACCAATTACTAGTCTCCTTCCTCGATATACTGAAAACAAGCCATTTTATTCTGCTGCTTTAGACACCACTACCATTTTCCTGAATGTGTAACTCATCCATAATGCAGAATAATAGCCAAGATCTCAGATTCTGATGCCAGCAAAATCTGGTTTAAATCCCAACTCCAAATTATTAATGTAATACAGGGTAAAAAGTCCTTTATTTCTCTGTGCCTCGGTTTTTTTTTCTTAAAAAGGAGATAACAGTGCCTATTTGGGGGAGGTTATGTATCTTGAATTGTCTGTGATGATTAGGATATCATGTCGTATTATAATGCCTGAAAGGTTTTACATTGATAGTTTACCTTATAAATTCACTTTAAATTGAATAAACATGTTGTTAAGTAAAGGGGGCCTATTAAGTGAAATATACTTGAGAATACTAAGTAATTCTAGTTTACATGGCCAATTTTTCAAGGATCTATATTCTGAGTAACAGTCTTTCTATGTGAAATTGGTTTGATGGGAGGATACTGCCATAATATGTAGCATTCAACTAATCTATCCTGTTAATTAGGTAGTGTAAAAAGATTTGTAAAAAAAAGAAAAAGATTTGTAGATAATGAATTTCGTCCTCTCAAAGATACTTTCGTACCCTCTGCCCTGCTTCTCCATTTACACCATTGCTGTGTGTAAGTAGAACTTTCTTCTGACGGTGTGTGTTAATAACTGGAAAATTCCCTATCAGTAGACTAGCACCATCTTGACAGCCCTGTGTTCTGCTTCTACCTTGTTAATTGTTTCCTTGGGATTATTTGGATTGTGTAGAAAGCTTTTTGCAAATCCTCTTATTACTGAAGTCATTGTTGCCAGCAGGAATAAGATTAAAGGTGCTTAAGTCTGTAGAGTTGTTTCTAATTTGTACGTGTCATTTCGGTGGCATTTCAACAGAACTCTGTCTCCTGTCCCTCCTTTCTCCCCTGGTGCTATCTCAAGTTAGGTCCAAGAAGCCAGGCCATTGGAAGAAATCTCATTTTATCCTCCTAATTATTATGCTGGCACTCAGGAGATAATTTTTCCCTTCATGCGCTGCCAATTAATATGCAAATGAGCTGATAAATATTTATGCACCAATTTAAATTATGCAGGGAGTGCTTTCAGTGTATTCTGTAAATGAATTGTTCCCGGACTTCAAAGTGCTGGCTGCTGTGCTAACGAGGAGAGATTTGCATAAGGGCCTAATCACGCGCATACTGATTAAGCTTCATTATGGAAACTGCCAGCTGCAATCTTTGTTTCTATTTTATTACAAAAAGGGGAACTTTTCATGCTTCAGTTGCCTTGACAATGTCAGTCCTAGCTGGTAGGAGAGACTAAAACTCCTCTGAGCAACTGAAGTTTCCTTATTCAGTTGAAGATTGCTATGGTGTAACTGAAGTTGTATTTTGCCTCTCCCATTAATCCACTTTCCACTCCCCCCACCCTTGTTCTCTGAAGAACATACTGCAGATTTGTTAGAAATAGTAGTACCTTCTTTCCCCGCCCCAGACCGATACCTGTTTCTTCCTTGCTTTGGACTGTCTTCACTTCTAGAAGATTTCACAGCAATGCTGGACTGCAGTGACTATGTTCTAGGTGGGTACCAGCTCAGTTCGTTCTTAGAGCTTTAATATGGAAATAGCATGTGTGGGGTTGACTATGCATAAACGCTTAATCACATATGCAACCAGCTTCGGGGAGGGGGAGAGGTGGATTGAGCAGGGATGGAGGAAAGCATTTGCACAGCACAGACATCAGAGTTTGCTGTAGGTCTCTCCCTACAACCAGCTCTTCTGGTTCAGAGGGTGCAGTATTTTCAGTAAATAGTGTGAATTTAGAGTTTGGCTTCAGTGGAGGACATTGCTTTTGGGGAGTTTCCATGGCGAACGTTTCATGTAGCTCTAAGAACATTTTAAATCAGTAAATTGTACTTAAATAATATGTACATATTAATAAAATGTTTTTGCATACCTAATGAGAATGTCTCATATAAAAATGCTCAATGAAAAATAAAGTGGAACCATGGTGCAGAATTGTTCCCATAAATACTTAGTTCCCATAAATTACAGTAGTGACTGCACTACATGTGTTAATCTCTACATTTTAGAAATTACTTGCTGTTTTCAAATTTTAGCCTTCATTTTTATTTCTAAAAACCTACTGTGTTCTTCAGAACACCAAAGTTTTAAGTATTGGAAAGCCAGTTTTTAGAGTTTTTTGCCTAAATAGCCTTTTAGAGAGGAATATGTCCTGTTTGAACATATTAAGCTGTCTTTGGTGACTAAAATAGATTGGGGCGCTTTAGTATTTAGACATAGGATGGCCCGTGGTGGCCATATTTTGTATGAAGTTTTGTTTGTTTATATGTAGAATTACTGAATCCTTTTTAGGTCACTTAGTCATCAGGAAAGGCAGATGACCTAAACTCCAGGAGTTGGATATCTTAAGTTTAAAACTTGCAACTTTTTTTCTTGTGTGTGTTTTTTCCCCCACTTGAAAACTGAGACTGCTTTTATCGCTTTTACAGTTGAAAATGTTTAAATTCTAATGCAAAATGCCTGTGGCCTAAATCCAAGGTAGTAGTAATATTTGTCCATCACAGTAGAAATCACTGTATAAAGGTTGATTGGCACAGACAACAAATTGATGTCAAGAATCAATTCAGTAGCAACTAGTAGACGGCATATTACATTCATTATGTAAAGTCAGCCCAATGGAATAGACCTGTATTGTTTACATTGCCTAGAAAGAGAAAAAAAGTCAGATATCAAGAATTTATTTTTTTACTTATTCTTTTACATTTAGTAAGTTGAGAATTCAAGAAATGAAAAAAAAATATCTTTGGGATATTTTTAGAATTCATTTTACAGTCAGAAATTATGTTGACTACTTATGCCATTGAAATAGTCTTCCCATCATTGTACACTTAATCAGAATTGTATTGTTTTATTCTTTTCTATGTGTTTGAAGTAATTTTGTTAAATGTCTTTGAAGCTCTTGACAGTTTGGTAGACCCTTAGCAGATTTACATAAAATACTTGTGACATAATTTTTTATTTATAGATGTATAAATTATATGAATTATGCAAAGTCAAGATCATGACTTGTTAAGAATTATGCTTACTTTGTTTCTGTGATGTCCATGTATGTGAGAAAATTGTTACCCATTTTTTTAATAATGACTGACTTTCTTCCACTTTCCTTTAAAACTCATTCTAAAGGAAGCATTAAGCTTCCTTAATGATTTATTCTATTAAATTTGTTGTGAATTTTGTAAACTTTCTTAAGATTTTGGCTAAGTCATTCAGAAAGCTGATTTTCACTAAGTTGTACACCTGTTCCTTTCAAACTTTAGTGTACTTTCAGATGGTATTTAAATTTTTCTGGACAGTGGCAGAAGGAAGTTACAGAACTGTCCTTATTTATACTGAAGACGTACAAATTTTAAGCCTTCAAAAATCTGAAGAACGTTCTGCCACCTGGCAAGCAAGCACAAGGTCCCAAGATCTATCCCTGGTACCAAAAAAAAAAAAAAAATCTGAAGAACAAACTAAAGATATGATAGAACTGCTTAAGCCTATAAGACAAGCCATCAGTTGCAAAACTTAACTATATTAGAAAAGCTATTGCACAACTTCTAGGATGGAAATGAAATTTATGAAAGAAGGATTCTTGATTTTTTTCTATATCTCTTAAGGATGTAGATAATACAACTGTTGTCAATATGGTTGGGATTTCTAGTGATTGTTTTGATTTCCTAATGTAAATCATTTACATTTTCTGTTGAAAAAAAATGTGGTCCTTGGTCCAAAAATCTGATATAATGTAGTTTAAGCATGAATTCTTTACCAGTAACTACTGTTAAATGGTTCTTAACTTGGAGGAAAAAGGCAGAACTAACTTGATAATTACCTTGTTTGATTGTAAATATTCTAGGTTTGGATTTGTAGTAGATATAGTAAAAGATATATATTTTATGTTAATCTTTTTCACCCTTTCAAAGATGTAGGAAAAAGTTAGAGTGGTTCTTGTCTCACCTGTATATTTTTGGGATATCTAAATTTCATTATGGAAATAAATCTTGATTAAATAGATAACACCAAAACAGGTAACTCAGATTTAGAAGATTTATTTGGGATATCAAGGTATAATTTTTAAATGGATGTAGTTGTGACTAAATGTTAAAATTATTAAAGATATCTGTTAATGTTTTCTGGCACAACTTTTTGTACTGGTTTATAATTTAGGTGTATGCCTTTGACATAATCTCACTTTTACTTTGGATAGAATACAATGGAAGTATTTTTCTTAGAAATGTTTTCTTTTAGTCTATTAGATTGAGTTATTCTCCCATCTATTATGAAGTTATGGGTTATAAATAATGAATATCTTTGCTTATGGAAAAAATGCTTCATATGGGAATAACAGGGTTTTTTGGTTTTTACTTGTTTAGGTGCTTCCCCTTCCTCAGTTTTATTTCTTCAGCATACGGCTTAAATGTTATAAAGTGCTTATTCTTTCTACCTATCAGACTAATAATTTTTTCAGGTTAGAGTTCTGCTTTAAGGTTAGGATTGTTAGAAGAATCTTAAAATTCTTTAGAAAGATAATATGTGGATAACTTCAGAAGTTCAGGTCTAGAGAATCCTGGATTTCCTTCAGGTAACTTTTTATAACTTTGTAATATTTTAGCCTGACACATGCAGTTTCTTGAATCATATGGTGATAATATTAGTTAACCCTTTCCTCTGCCACACGTTTGCCTCCTTAACCTCGTCTTTATCCCTGGTTTTTAAAAAGCCTTATCACTTCTGATTGGTTGCAGACTCGAGAATGAACAATCCGTCAGAAACCAGTAAACCATCTATGGAGAATGCAGATGGCAACACAGGTAAGGCAAGGTTCTCTGATCCTACTTTGGCAAATACAAAACAATTTGTTCATTGAGTTGGCAAGTATGATTTAGTACCTGCAGGAATCAGAATTATGTTTATTTAATATTATCTAACATTCTTCTACAGATTGCTTCATCTCTCTACTTCATCTGTTAGAGCAACTGCATTGTAGTTATGAGAATAGTCCTGTGGGTCAGATAGTGGTGAGCATGAGTTAGGGATTTGCCACTTAGTAACTGTGACTGTAGGCAGTTTCTTCAGTATTTTTGAGACTTAATTTATTCAATTGTAAAATAGGGATATTTCATAAAGCATTATGAGTATTAAATGAGATAATGGTGCCAGCTATATTCAGTTAAGTTTCTCTTGTTACAGATACTAATCAAAATAGTAATCTGATCCACCCCTCATTTGATATAAATTAGTTATGATAGTGTCAATAAAGAGTACTCACTTCTATACATTCTTTTATTTTTTAATTTTAAATTGGATTAAACCTTTTATAAGGAGAAAATTAGCGTATAAATGAGAAAAAGCCCCATGAGAGACAGGTACATCTATAAAAAAGACAGTTTGTTCTCCATAGCCCATACCTGTAAGTCTGTGTCTTACTCAGAGGACATTTATTATGTCGTCTTCCAGAGGTGGTATAGGGACTTCTCAGTTTCTGGTGGAGGCATAAATTAAAATATTAAGCCATGTTGAGAAGGGAATTGTGGGCAAATGTGCACAGAAAGTAATTGTTTGTAAAATAAACTAGATTTTTCACTTGCAGAGAGGATTCCTTCTTTGACTATCATTTTAAAATGTGCACAGCTATGGGAGATGGTGTGAATGAGATTATTTTTATTCTGTTTCCTCCTTCTACTGGCTACAACCTTATAATTTGCAGTAGGTGGATGAGTTAAATCAATATAAGTTTCCTGCCTGCTCATTTTTTATTATAAACTGTCCTGTACCTGGAGATGCTTGTTAACCTTTTCTCTCTAAAATGTCCGATGCCTACATCTCTATGTGAAATTGAGCTCTGAGGCTTACACGTTCAGCCTGTGTATTAGTGTCTGTTCCTCTGTGTCCAGCCACCTGTCTACTGGGCTGTCGCCTAAGAAGGGGGAGGGTAGTCTCATATTTGTCTGAATTCTCAGCCATTTTTCTTCCTAGCATTTCTGTGTCCCTTTCGGACCCCATGTTTCTTTATTTCAGTCAGTACAGGTGCTTTGGCCACTGCCAAAGCCGTGGGGCTTGCTTACAGAGACAGTTCAGTTGACCAACGGGGAGGATGGGGAGAGCAGAGAGGACAGTTGTGCCTAAAGATCAGCTTACAGGAAGAGACAAGGTGTTTTCTCAAAGGGAAACAGACTCACGGAATGATTAGACAGCACAGAAATATCTGCTATATCAAACTTTGGGAATCCTCGTATTTACTTTAACCCCACAGTTTCAGTAACTATAATTTGTTGAGCACCTACAACATTTAATAAAACTCCACAGTCATGACTTTTTTTAATCCTAAGCACTGTACACATTACTTGATTTCAGTTTAAGTTCTTATGACAAGTTAGATGTCTTTTCAAAGAATAGAAAATTAAAGCACAAAACTAGGAAGTAAAGACAGGTTTAAAATTTATTCCCTATGTGTAATTTTTCTCATGAGCCTCAATAAAATACAACTTAGGATTTAAGCAGCGCTTTGTGTAATGTTCTGCCCTGAAACCATTTACAGGGTTATATAAGATAAAATCTGAGCACGCTGGAGGCCAAAATAGGATCAAACATTTGAAGTCTACTGGAATTGGTGGTGCATTCCTGTAATCCCAGTATTTGGGAAGCTGAGACAGGAAGATCACCATCAGTTCAAGGCCATCCTGAACTACTAAAAAAGAAAAAATTTGATGCCACCCTGTGCCACATAGCAACTTCCAGGAAACCCTGAACCAACAATCTGTCTCAAGAAAAGAAAAAGATGAATTCTGGCTGGAGCATGCATTGAAACAGTCTTATCAGTTTCTTGCCCTATTTTAATGTGGAATGCTTGGCCACTTGCTTTCCTCATAGAGCTGGGCGTTACCAGTTTACACAGTTACTTTTAATGCCTCTAAAACTAATTCAGGGACCAAGAGGTGTATTTCTGTAGACTTTACTTCCATCACCAGCAGTGGCAGTTTGTTTCCTCTTTCCTCTACGAGACAATGGTTTTTTGTAAGAGTTACTGCTGATGCAGTAACGTATAGCTGGATCAAATGTGAAATGATCAGCTGTCCTAACTCTGAAGTAGAGCAGAGTTCACTTCTGTTTGTCTACTGTAGCATTTGTTACATTAGTCAAATTAAAAATTAGTTTCATTTTAGGGACCTGTATTCTCACTTGAGTATAACAGAAACCTTGACCGTCAGTTTCTCAGATGTTCCAGACCTTTTTCTTAGTGCCTCTCACTGATGTCGATTTGATAGTTTACAAATGTAAAAATACTTTTGAGTTCTGGTTTGCATGGTTAGTTATCATGTTTGATATATTAGGAATAAAATTATAGTTTTTTTAGATATATGCTTATACATCGTTTTTAAAAATATGAGCCTACAGGCAGCTGTTTATTAGTTATTTAATTATAATTTTTTGGTAGTTTATGAAAAAACAATAAAATTTTTAATTGGAAAGAACCCTTAACATTATAAATAAAATTGATGTATCGTATTTTCTGGATTCAGAATACTTTTTGGTTAACCAGATTTTCCTGAAATGTTTATAATTGTAATAATTATCATTTGTGAAATTCTAAGGACAGTGATATTACTTAAAATTATGTTGATATGTTACTTCCTTGCCTTTCTCCTGCCATTGATTTATTTAAGAATCCAAATCTGGCAGAGCATTTTTGTCAGATAACCCTTTTATGCTTACAGAACATCTATGGTTCAGGCTTGTTCAGGTTTATCTATTCCATGTGTAAAATATTACTGTTGTTGTTATTAGATATAATAGGAACAGATGAGACTCCCACTCCCTTTAAGAGAAAAGACAAACACAGATAACTGATTCTGGGTAGATGATGGTACGTAATTCCAGAGCAAATACCGAGAAGTGCCATAGTGGTGCTGATGAGGTGTTTCGAGGAAATTTGAATGTTTATTATCCTGAGAAGAAGGAACCATCAGGGAGGAAGAGATTGAAGAAAGAAAAATAATTGATGGAATTAGGGTAGGGAAAGAAGGCTAGGATAAAAAAACAGAATGAAGGATTAACTTTGAAAGTGAAAAGTATATGCCCTTTTCTCTAAAATTGGGAGGATTATGTTGTATCTTCAGTGCACAAGGACCGTGGTGTACACTGTAGGATCACAAAGTTGAATAAAATACTGACTTGTTTTTTGTTACAAAAAATTTTGTAGAAAAAACAAAACAATTTGTCTTATAACAGAAATTGAAAAGATTCATGAAAAGTATTTGTGAGTACATGAGAATTCAGTGTAGGGAGAAATTATGTCTAGCTGAGGTGATCAGGGAAGACTTGGAGAAGGTGGAGTGCACTACCTTGAAGGCTGGATAGATAGAATGTAAATGTAGTGGTAGCAAGCAGTGTATGTTCAGCGTGAACGAATAGTAAACACTAAGAGGGGGAAAAAGAAATCTGCCCCATATCTTCAGTTCTTCCATCATGTCATATGATCCTCACAATTATGCTATTCTTCTAGCTCTTCAGACTTCAGTACAGTTATTACCATTATCATTGGCGTATTATTTTTGTAAACTTATCCCTGGTAGTTAGATTTTTTTTTTTCTTTTTTTCTGACACTGGGAATTAGGTCAGGCCTTCAATGCTGAACTGTAGCCTCAGCCTTTTTTTTTTTAGATAGGGTCTCATTAATTGTCCAGGCCGGGCTTGAACTTGGTGAAACTTCTGCCTCATCCTCCCAGAGAGATTACAGGCATGTACCACCACACCTCACTTAAAATTATTTTTTATAATTAATGAAAGTATTTTTCTGGTGATACTTGTTTTGAACTGTAAAAGCTTATTTTTTTTTAAAGCAGTCAGCTAATCTGTTAATTCATTGAGTTTGTAGTCAGTTGACTGTAAGGTTTTTCACCTGAGTTATGGTAGATCCAAGATTTCTCCAGCCTGTCTTTTTTCACTTCATTTTTATGCAGATGCTGCCCTCTCCCTGGGATAATACCAAGATGTTTATGACAAATCAAAAGGCTAAGTAAATGTATTAATGCAACCTAATATACAGTTATGAAGTGGCACCCCAGAAATATCATGAGAATTTTCTCATAACCAGTGTTGTGTTTGTTCTGTGGTATCTACTAGTGCCATTGCTGGTATTAGAAAACTATCTTCATAAAAGAGGATATTCAGATGTCATTTTCTCCTACATGAAAAGGAAGGATCCTTGAAAGGCCAGGTTGTCGGTTAATATACTTGCTATTCTTCATAGTCATTTAAGAACTTCATGCCTTAACCAGCATTTTAGAAACTATTTCTAGATAAAATGTCAGAGTTTTCAAAAGTCTCAGAAAATCACCAGGGGACAAGGTTCAAATAAAGTCCTCATCAGAGCAGAGTAGAGTGATTGCAGATTTCAGATTCTGAAGGACTATCTTCCCTTAGTTCTTTTTATTATCACTTTAATGTTTATTACATATTTTACTGTGTGGGGTATACTCTGCACTAGCCAGCGTGTTCATATAAGCCTGAGTATAAAAATCCCAATAGTAATTCTTGTTGGAATTCCTTCATGGTGAAGTTTTAATAATGAGTGGCTTAATTACTTTTTTCATTGCTGAGACAAAATACCAAACACTCAAAGTTAAAGGAAGAAAATTTTATTTCAGCTCACAGTTTGTAGAAGTTTCAATCCATAGTCAGCTGGCTCCAAGGCCCGCATTTCACAGTGGCATCACATGGGAGAAACAGTTCCTGGCGAGGCAGGGAAGCAGTAAGTAGAAGCGGACTGCCTTTCCCTTTTCTCACAAACAGGCTACAGACCTTTTGGGTG